CTGAGGAGACAGGAAGTGAGGGGGGTGAGGCGGGTGAGACGTTTAACAAAACAAAACAGACCCCCAACATGTTCTCATTACTTTACTTCTAGTCTTCCAACTCTAAACATCCACGGATTTCAACTAAAGGTTTCCTGCCAAATGAAGATAATGTCATAACAGTATCCATAACGCTGTGGTGAGCTATTTTGTCTTTTTGTTGCTATTGTAAGAGTCTGCGTGTCGCCTTAGAGGGATCTGAGCAACTTCAAATGCTGACTTTAAGCTGAGTGCTGGTGGGAAGAGACAGCGAGAACCTCTGGGTATCAAACAGGGAGGCTGCTGGTGAAGTGTGGAAGATTAACCGAGGATTTTGGTTCTGCTGTGCTGGGACACACAGCGTCTGAACTCCTCAAGGTGACATTGAGTTACGAGAGAGACCAAAGCCTCTTGTCTTTCAAATGAATGTTTTCACTGAAACTCTGTGGCTCAGCAGTGAAGTCGTGGGTGTTTTTTGAATCCATGAACTGATTTAGAGTTAATAATTTTTAAAAACTACATTGAAAATGTGAATGACAGAAGTTGTGTTCGTATAGAGAAGATTGATAAGTTCTGAGTCAGGCTGCTGAGGGAACTGCACTATTAAACCAAACCGATAGCTAACTCCAATAACCATTGGCTATACACACCCTTCACCCTTCTCTGTGGTGTATCTTTATCTTATATCTTTAGAAGCAACAAGCAATTTCTGCATTGATATTGCCTGGGGTGGGTTGACATAACTTTTACAACCGAACTGGCTGTTGATCTTTTACGGTGGCTGGAGTTCTCCTGTGAGACAAGCAGACTATGCCGTGAGAGAGTGTGTAATGAACATGCTTCTTATTTCCTGTTTGGGTGGTGCTTTACAGTTGGGGAAACTCATGTCAGTGAAGGAACTGACAGAAATACTGACGTTACACCGGTGAGCAAAAGTGTGCAAAGGGAAGGAGAGAGGGAAGAGACAGGTAGTGCAAAACTGCAGGAAAAGTGTGGGTTTTTAAAGCAGAGTCATGTCCATTGTAGGCGTCTCCTTACAGGAAAGTCCACACACTCTGGACCGTTGGATCTCAGGCTGGACTTGTGATACCACTCATCCTTTAATATGAACACAGGAACCAGAATCTCCAGGGGTTGTTGGGTTCTGCTGCTTTTATGGGACCTTACTCCATCTGGCATGGAACATGAAGACATCAGGATATAAATGGAGACGGTTCGGGAGAAGTCCACCCGACCTGGGTCTTTTGTCACCCGGATGTACCAAGACCCATTGAGGTGGTGGGTGGGGGGTCATTATTCTGAGGTTTCATGAAATGATCATCCATCACCCAGGCTCCTTTGCACATTGAAAGGCGTTCGTGCCATCAAGGAGGAAGGAACGGTTAAATTCCATTTACCATAGATTTCAGAGACAGATGAGACCTTGCCTTTTCATTAGTGAGCCAAGATGCATGATGGGTAACAGATCAGATCTCTGGACCGAAGCGGCCGACTCCAAAGCCCACCGTGGATCAGCCTGAAGCATCCGTCAACTATCAGCAGCACAGATGCCGGTCAACAGCAGCCATTTGTGTCTAACCCTGATGGCATAAGACCCCCCAACACACACACACGCAAACACACATGCACACACACACACGCACACACACACACACACACACACACACACACACACACACACACACACACACACACACACACACTTTCTGGCATTGCTCATTTTGTAAATAGAGGTCTGTATCCTGAGCTGGATGATAATGGCGTTCCCATCACCGGCTGTATGAGAATGTTCAAGTCACATTTAGATTCCAAGGCGACTCGGGCACTTGTGTCATTCAAAGCTGAGAGCATTCAGGCCACACAGCTTTAGGGGTGTGTGTGTGTGTGTGTGTGTGTGTGTGTGTGTGAGTGTGTGTGTGTGTGTGAGTGTGTGTGTGTGTGTGTGTGTGTGTGTGTATGTGTGTGTGTGTGTGTGTGTGTGTGTGTGTGTGTGTGTGTGTGTGTGTGTGTGTGTGTGTGTGTGTGTGTGTGTGTGTGTGTGTGTGTGTTCAGTGCTTCACAAGCAGCAGGAGTTGCTGCTTAGTTGCCAGCACATTTAATTTCGGAGAATTTTTTGATGAAATTTGGGAAACTTTTGTTGTTTGTTTGAGGTCAGTAATACCACAGTGTTCAAAACTTCCTGACTTTCCTTATCCATGACAGAATGAAGCCAGACCACAGATTTACAGTAGGAACAATAGAAAATTCACAAGCTTAAGTTTCACGTCAAGGTCTGGATTTAACTGGGCCACAAAAACATGGACATCCTACAACCGAGCAACTCTCAAATGAAAACAGAAACTTCCTGAACACATCCCGGATGAGCCCCCAGTTCACCTGTCCGGGAGGAGCCAGGCCATAGGGAGCCTGAGTCACGCCTATCTACTTCCAGATCATGGGTCCCCGGAAGAACGAAAACATGAATGAAAGTCAACAGGGCTAAAAACGAATTTTTTTTATTCCGCTTTTGTGCCATGGATTTCACCAAGCCCCCATAATTCGGGTCTGAAAATGAAGCCGATACAGAAATGGAAAAAAATGCAGTTCCACCCTCATCCACTAGGGGCTGGTGTCAGAAGTGAGTATACTCACATTGACTCCCATGTTAAAAATACCAATTTCACAGCAGAAATAAACATTTTTACAGCCTGGTACCAAAGCATGTTTTAGGTTTAAATGATCTACTTTACACTCATGACAACTCTGAGGGGGGTGAATATTTTTTGTCACTGTTATGTTTAAGTGTATTAAATGCCTAAAATTCTGAATACTTAATGAGCATCAGACCCCCGTGACCGTAGAGCTAGCTCCGTGGAAAGGCCTCAGCTTGATCCTCGGCCTCGCCTGAAAACTATTCCGCGATTTTAAGTCTCTCAACTTAGACCATTAGTTGTGCCGTTTGTGTATTCTTTTTTGGATATTATTTGTGCAATTGTTGGACAAAATGAGTTGCTGTGGCATTAATTGCACTAATAGAGCGTCCAAGGAGTCTCCACTTCATTTTTTTCAGAAAGTAAAATTATATTTATGTATTTTAGGTCACTGCCGCTCTTGCCCTAGCTGAGCTTAGATTTTAACATATGCTGTTTAACCATGAAATTTAAATGTAATAGGGTAAAACCAAGTGCATTTAACATAATGCTGCACTTTTGAAAATGGGTTGAAATATAACATGTTGGTGGAGCTGGGTTCCAGCTATCATTATGGTCCTCTCCCCCCAGCGGCAGCTCGGCACATCTCTGACTACAACGGAGCCTGTCTGCTTGCGTGGACTTCTGGCTTGTGGAGCACTCGGATGGAAACCGATGTTTTCCAACCGGTTCTCCCCAGCGGCAGCTTTGCGCATCTCTGATCACAGCGGCGCCTGTCTGCTGTGCGGCTGCCGGCTTGTGGAGCTCTCGGGAGACCTCTGTGTTCCACCCGGTTTTACCCAGCGGTCAGCCCGGCGTATCTCTGATTCAGAAGCTCCGGTGTTGTGCACAGTTAACTCCGGTTGTAGCTAGGTAGCTACCTCCGTTAGCTTAGCTCCCACCTCTGCGTTAGCTTTGGGTTAGCTTGTAGCTACATCATTTCAGTTCGACGGGTGTCGTCATTTGATCCCAGCCTCACACAGCCCCACCCTCAGCTCCACCTTTTTTCCCTTTTCTGAAATTGTCTAAGTTTGACGGAACCTGTGACACAGTCAAAATGGCGGTGGTAGCCACCTCCCATTTTGGCACCAAAACATAATCGGAGCCTATGGAAACAAATTGTCCAGTATATATGTCAATGGATTTCACAATGATATCTGTGAATCTTAAAGACGCATTTTGATACCAAGAAAGTGCGTATTTTTGAACGGGGGGAACGTTATTTTAAGTTTTTGTGAAAATAAGTCCAGGACTAAAAATGTGCATCACGAAAGTAACATCAAACCAGACACGGAGAAAAACAGGGAAAATGTTTGAACGTTTAGCGAACTTGAAATCCTTCCTTCAGGAGGATGGAACCACCATAAATCTGGCTATTTGGTAAGTAGCAGCTACGTTTTGGGAGAGGAGGCTCTGTGGTGATGTCACATATGCGACGTGCCGATGTCTGATTTGAAGTCATGCTAATTACGAACATTTACAAGCTAATAAATCACAAAAGACGTGACTGGCGTAGTTGAGACACCCATCCTTAGTTTTCATTTAAACTCCAGTACAACATGTGTGCGATCCAGGGCATAAGTCAAAGCGGATTAGAAAAAAGCTCTTTTAGCGCCATTGACTTGCATTAATTTTTTCGTTCTTTTTTACCCATGAGCCGACCGGAAAGGGTGGAGACTTAGGCTCCCTATTGTGTTAAGGTGTTGTTCTCTCAACCTCCACAGATCCCAAGCAACCACACTCAAGTACTATTTACAATGATTTATTTACAATAAAAAAAACTAAGAACACAGTTAACGAAAGGTGAGGGAGGATTAAAAGCTCAGGGTGAACTACGGCCTAAAACAACTAACAAAACACCACTAACTGAAATCTACCCTAGGTCACCTAGAAATAAAAAGAGCCAAATGACACACGAAACTTAACAAACTTAACAAAAACTGGAGAAAACTGGCCATTAAACTAAAAAGACAGTTTACTCCAACAAATCCTCAAACTAGACACTTTAAGTTTATGCAGGGCACAAACAGAATGGTGGCTGCATGGCATGGGCAGCGGTTGAGGGAACACAGCTGCTGCCAGTACGGTCCCTCCGAAAATGGTTGCTCCTCGCGGTCACCCAATCAGGATCTCTCACTGCTGTCTTCTGCCAATCAGAGGAGGGCACCTGAACACTGAAATTTACATGATGAATGACAGAACAGAAAACAAAAGGAAACAGTCTCGTACATGTAAAAATGATTCAGAATGCTCAGGAGGGCATCTGAAAAAGCCGACAGCATTTTGATTGGTTTTGTAAAGTTATTCTCAAGG